CCCGCCACAACGCCTGGCCATTTTTTGGTTGCAGCCATCATTGTCATTTGGCAGGCCTGGGCTGGGGATTCGAACTCACCACCTTAGGTGTATGTGGCTGGCGCCTTAGCCACTTGAGCCACAGGTGCCGAGCCGACACCACCATTCTTACATGGGCAAGAAACGTTTCCTTATCAGCATCCTTCACATAAACATCACTTTATTCTGATGTCTTACTGATATACTACAAGTACGTGAGAAATGATTATCTTTTTTAAAAAGTGGGAATTGCAGTGTTTCTCAGTGTTTTCTATTTAGCAATAACAAAGTACAACTACCAAGTATAAGTATTTCCAAGGACTCTCAGGATCAAAAAGGATTAAGGATAGTCTTCAAAGTTACTCATCCAAAATTAAACGAAACACATGCTTAAGAAACTGTCCCTGCAGCCACAGAGTAGTGAGGCCTTGCTGCTCCAAGTGTGGTCTGCAAAGTGCTAATGAGGGCATCGCTGTCCACAGGGAACTTGTCAGAAATGCAGACCCTCAGGCCCCCCGCCCAGACCTACTAAACTGTGATTTGCTTCTAAACAACAAGATCCCCTCGTGAGTCATAGGTACTCTGAAGGCCGAGATGCACTGACCTAGAATACATAATTTGCTGGCTTTATATTGTATTCAGTCGTCAGGACCAACTAAAAACTTCTGCACTCTTGTCTCATGGGACTAATTAAGAGAATACATCTATAAATAAGCGAACAATATATACGAAGGCTGTCTGGAAAGTGGCATACATGGCTGGATTACTTTCCAGACAACCCTTGTATCACGTAACCGAGAAATAACACTTACACGAATAAGCCGGTAGATGCCAGTAACATATTCTTTCCTTACCGATTGCGGTGATCTGAACTCTCTCGCTGCCAGACACTGTATCCGGAGGAAATGAGAAGCTCAAAGTTTTCATGGTACTTTGCAGCTTGTTGTCAGTTAAGTCTAATAAGACGGATTGTGAATATGATTTTTCTATTCCTTCAGCCTGTTGGAAAAAAAAGTGACACCAGGAGCGTGCTTGATACTCATCGGTCTGCAGAGAACAGTAGGTGGACACGAAGGCGTGCGCCCGACCTGCTGCGTCTGTGGTCTGTGTATGCCGAGATAAATTCCTACCACTTCTTCTTTTGGGTCTCCTTTTTGAGTATTTTATTTGAACAAAGTAATACGAACATTTATTTCACAGAATGAGTTTTTCCTGTCCGTTTACATTATCACAAACTGCCACAACTTTGATTACTTTTTCCCACTGTGAGATTTTCTCCCTAAATACAGTAGCCTGCCTTAACGGGAGTGTGATTGTCAACAGGATTTGAACTTAGCTGGCACTGCTTCCGTGGAACTAAAGTAAATCTGATGATGTACTTCAGTGCCTGCTATTCCTTGATTCTTACTTCAGATCTGTTAGTAAGTGTTTACTTTCCAGTTAAATTAGACAAAACAAACACCTCATGGAATGACAATGAAAACCATAAACGTAAAAAATGTAAAAATGCAAAAAAATTCATCTGAGGTAGAATTCCTATTATTATCCAAAAACAGGGATTAAACACCTTGACCGAAGTCATACTTGGCAGAGCTGGGATTCAAACCCTGGGCATAAGTGCTCAGGGATGGGGTTGTACAGAATGTCTTCTCTGAAAAAAAATCAACAAAATCTCTTCTACCTCCACCGAGAAATTTTAATATTCTAAATACATATCAATTTGCGATTTAATAAGATCCAATATAACATTGTTTGTAGATGTCAATGAAAGTAAAGGAGATTTTATTGTCTTTATCATCAGACTGATTAAATTGAAAGAGGAAACTGACAATTATTTCTAAAACATCCATGTCATATATTTTGACATACAGGTGAGAAAGCATTCGGCATTGGCAGGAGGGCGGGGGAGACGACCTACTTACTAGATCTGCCAATAATGTAACCGAGAAATAAAAAACACCTGCTGTTGCCTTTCAATTACGTATTTCCATCTCGTTTATTTAAGACTTCAAATCTTTACCTTGACTAAAATCTTCTGGGTGAGCGCATCAGAAGCTGTGGGTGAAACGGCTGTGACTGTGATGGGGATCTCTCCCAGGTGCCTAGGCTTGATGGGGAACAGAACGGTGGCCCCATCCTCACTGGGAACCCCAATGGTCTGCTGATGCCCCGAGGCATTCACTTCATTCGAAGTCATTAGAATATCGAATTTGTCACTTTCCTCAATGTTTACCTTAACCTGGAGGAAACACACAGCGAAGGCTTTACATAACAAACGCCCTTCGGGAAAGTGTCGCTTTATCACCACCTATTACATCTGTGAGGTTCAAGATTACCTAGAAAAAAAAAAATTATTTCTTTCCTACGCTTTCTCCCTCTACTTCAAAATGTGGGGAAAGGACACTCTTCAGCTCCACTTCTGGTCTTCCACTGACACTCAATTCTTTCATCATCTG